TTTTTTTTTAATTTTAAGGTTTATTTATTTTTATTTGAAAGGCAGAATTACAGAGAGAAGGAGAGACAGAGACAGAAGGACTTCAAAAATCTGCTGCTTCACTCCCCAGTGGCTGCCATGGCCAGAGTTGAGAACCTGGAGCCTCTTCCAGCTCTCCCACAAGGTTTTAAAGGACCTGGGCCATCCTCCACTGCTTTCCCAGGCCACAAGCAGGGAGCTGGATGGGAAGTGGAGCAGCCGAGACAGAAACTGGCACCAATATGGGATCCTAGCACATGTAAGTAAGGTAAGAACTTTAGCCACTAGGCTACCGTGCAGGCTCCATATTCAACTCTTAAGCCCAGCAGGGAACACCAACTGACCTTACTATGTCCACCTCTGGGAGTCACTGTAAGGCGTCCTCAGCCCTAGGCTCCAAGGTCTCATGAGACGGCCTGGAGGACCCTTGAGGGAGCAGACCTCAGGCTGCTGTGGCAGAGCTTGGCTGGGGCTGCTGTGGGCTGGCCCAGCAGGGGAGAACAGCACGATAGCCTACTGGCTAAAGTCCTCACCTTGCAGCAACCACTGGGATCCCATATGGGCACCAGTTAGCATCCTGGCTGCACTGCTTCCCATCCAGCTCCCTGCTTGTGGCCTAGGCAAGCAGTAGAAGATGGACCAAAGCCTTGCAACCCTGCACCTGTGTGGGAGACCTGAAAGATGCTCCTGGCTTCATCAGCTCAGTTGTAGCCTTTGTGGTCACTTGGGGAATGAGCCAGCAGATGGAAAATCTTTCTCTGTCTCTCCTTGTCTCTGTAAGTCTGACTTTCTAATAGAAATAAATAAATCTTTGTGTTTTTTGAAGATTTATTTATTTTTATTGCAAAGTCAGATAAACAGAAAGGAGGAGAGACAGAGAGGAAGATCTTCCGTCTGATGATTCACTCCCCACGTGGATGCAACAGCCGGAGCTGAGCCAATCTGAAGCCAGGAGCCTGGAGCCTCTTCCAGGTCTCCCATGAGAATGCAGGGTCTCGAGGCTTTGGGCCGTCCTCAACTGCTTTCCCAGGCCACAAACAGAGAACTGGATTGAAGTGGAGATGCCAGGATACTAACCCAGTGCCCATATGGGATCCCAGTGGTATCCAAGGGGAAGACTTTAGCTGCTAGGCTATCGCATCAGGCCTGAAATAAATAAATATTTTAAAAAGGTGGGGAGGTGCCCAGCTGGGTAGTCTGGTGGCTAAAGTCCTCGCCTTGCATACACCAGGATCCCATATAGATGCTGGTTCTAATCCTAGTGGCCCCGCTTCCCAATCATTTCCCTGCTTGCAGCCTGGGAAAGCAATTGAGGATGGCCCAAAGCCTTGAGAAACCCAGGAGAGGCTCCAGGCTCCTGGCTTCAGATCAGCTCAGCTCCGGCCATTGCAGTCGCTTGGGGAGTGAATCAACGAACAGAAGATCTCCCCTCTGTCTTTCCTCCTCTCTGTATATTTGCCTTTCCAATAAAAATATATCTTAAAAAAAACTTTAAAAAAATATATAACATTCACCACAGGCTGGGAGTGTCCAAGGACTTCTGTATTGCATCATTGAGTCCTCAGGCTTCCCTAGAATGGGTGGATTCTGTTTTTATCACCATTTCCCAGAGGCAGAAATTGGGACATCACTTGCATACTAACTCAGCAAGAAGGGAGCTGACTTGAGACTCAAATCCAGGAAGCAGTGTTGTCAGCCCCTCACCACCCCTGCCATCACCCCAGAGGGGCTCAGCGAGTCTTGAATAATAAAGATATCCAAGAGGGAGGGGAATCATCCCAGGCTTGGGATGGGTGGTTTTGGCTAGGGCCTAAGCCTTTTTCTTTATTTCTTGTTTTTTGTTTGTTGTTTTTGTTTTTGTCTGTTTTTTTTAATGATTTATTTATTTATTGGAAAGTCAGATATACAGAGAGGAGGAGAGACAGAGAGGAAGAGCTTCCAATGGTTCACTCCCCAAGTGACAGCAACAGCCGATGCTATGCTGATCCTAAGCCAGGATCCAGGAACTTTCTTCTGGGTCTCCCACACGGGTGCAGGGTCCCAAGACTTTGGGCCGTCCTCGACTGCTTTCCCAGGCCACGAGCAGGGAGCTGGATGGGAAGTGGAGCAGCTGGGATTAGAACTGGCACCCATATGGGATCCTGGCGCGTTTAAGGTGAGGACTTTAGCAGATAGGCCACACTGCCGGGCTGTGTTTGTTTGTTTTTTAAGATTTATTTTATTGGGCCTGACATGGTAGCCTCCTGGCTAAAGTCCTCATCTTGCATGCACTGGGATCCCCTATGGGTGCTAGTTTGTGGTCCCACTTCCCATTCAGCTCTCTGCTTGTGGCTTGGGAAAACAGTAGTAGAAGATGGCCCAAAACCTTGGGACTCTGCACCCACATGGGAGACCTGGAAGAGAATCCCGGCTCGTAGTTTCAGATAGATTAGCCCAGCTCTGGCCATTGCGGCCACTTAGGGAGTGAACCAGCGAATGGAAAATCTTTCTTTCTGTCCCTTCTTTTCTTTGTAAATTTGACTTTCCAATAAAAATGAATAAAATATTTTAAAAATTGTTAATGTTTATTGGAAAATCAGATTTATAGAGAGGAGAGGCAGAGATTTTCCATCCACTGGTTCACTCCTGCAGTGGCCACAATGGTCAGAGCTAAGCCAATCAGGAGCCAGGAGCCATTTGAGGAGGTGGTGCTGCAGCCTGGCCCTCTCCCAGCATCTGGGTGTACAAGCAAGGCTTCACTGTGGGGGTGGAAGGTGACAGGTAGAGATGGTCCAGCAGGCATGTGGGAGGCAGGTAACAGGTGAGTGGGAAGCATGGGGCTGGGTCACTGAGGATCTTGAAAGCAACTGTCGGATGTTCTGCAGCTCTTCAAAAGGACAGGTGTGTGGCCTTTGTTGACATATGGAAATGGTGTTTGGGACAAAAGAAAAACAGAATGCAAAGTAGTGTGTACACACAGGCAGCTGTGTAAACACACTGTGGGCTGCCAAGCTGAAAGGCCAGCAGGGCATCTGTGGTGCCACAGCTAGCCCCGTTCTCCACATTTCTTGGCTTTTCTGTCCATTTCCGATAAAAACTAAGAGCACACAGATCAGACCGAGGGGTTGAACTTTGAACTCATCGCAGAATTATCTTTGTTTGCTCTGCTCTTTTTTTTTTTTTTTTTTTTTTTAAGTATTTCTTTATTGGAAAAGTCAGGGTTGCAGAAAGAGGAGAGACACAGTTTGTGTGCCAAGCGGCTACAACGGCCAGGACTGAACCAGAACGAAGATAGCAACCAGGAGCTTCATCTGGGTCTCCCACATGAGTGGCAGGGGCTTGCCTGCTTGGGCCATCTCCCGCTGCTCTTCCCACATTAGCTGGATCCAGAGGCAGAGAGCTAGGACTCAAACCAGCACCCGTGTGGGATGCTGTCATCGTAGTTGACAACTTGACCGGTTACACCCCAACACCAACCCTATGCTTTGTTCTGTACTTGATATGTACTGCATATTGTGCTCATCTCATGATTTATGGATCCTGTAGATTTGCTTGTGGCTGCAAATTGCTGGTAACTCCGGGACTGGGACTTGCATCACTTGCGGACAAGGGTGGAAGTGCGAAGGGCCATGAGCGTCTGAGTTGCTCAATATGTGTTCCCTGCTGAGGCTAACGAGAGGACCCTTTGCCCTCTTGGGTTGCATAGTAACATAAACAAGAGTCCTCTCCTGTCTAGTGCCATGGTGACTTCTCCTCCTTTTTAAGATGCAGTACTAGGTGCACAGGAGCAGGAAGCTGAGTTGCAGATTACCAGGTAGCTGGGATTTGAATGAGGCACTCTGACATGGAATGTGCTTATCTCAATTGCTATCTTCCCTTCTTTTTTTAAAAAAAGATGTATTTATTTTTATTTGAAAGGCAGAGTCACAGAATGAAAAAAAAAAAAAAAGATTTTCCCACCCACTAGTTCACTCCTCAAGTGGCCCAATGACTGGAGCTTGCCCGGAAGCCAGGAGCCAGGAGCCGGGAGCTGCTTCTGGGTCTCCCACATGGGTGCAGGATCCCAAGGCTATGGATCATCCTCTGTGCTGCTTTCCCAGGCCAAAAGCAGGGAACTGGATATATAGAGACTTGTATGAGCATGATTCTCTAATTTCTCCAGGAGCCATGATACAGTATTAGTGAATACGCTAGTCACTGCAGCTTTACAGAGCACAGTTGTCACATGCAAACAGCAAGAACTGGCTGTGCCGTGAGATCCACTTTGTACAATGTACCCTTCTGGCAGGCATTTGACTCATCCCACTTCAGGCTCCCGACCACAGCTTCCTGATGATCTGACCCTGGGAGGCAGGGGTGGTGGCTCAAGTCCCTGGGCTTCTACACATGTGGAAGGTCTGTACTGAGTTCCCAGCCTTAGCCCTGGCCCAGCTCCAGCTAATGCAGCCACATAGGGAGCAAACCAGTGTATGGGAGTTCTCTGTCTCTGTCTTTCAAATGCAGTTTAAAATGTTTTAAATTCTTTCTTTGGGCCCAGCACAATGGCTCGATGGCTAAATACTCACCTTGCAAGCACCAGGATACTATATGGGTGCCTGTATGGGTGTCCTGGCTGCTCCACTTCCCTTCCAGCTTCCTGTTTATGGCCTGGGAAAGCAGCAGAGGATGGCCCAAGGCCTTGGAACCATTCACCTGTGTGGGAGACCCAGAGGGAAAAAGCTCCTGGCTCCTGGCTTCAGTTCAGCTCAGCTCAGCTCTGGTCATTGTGGCCACTTGGGGAATGAACCAGTGGATGGAAGATATTTCTTTCTGTCTCTCCTTCTCTCCATAAATCTGATATGCCTTTCAAATAAAAAATAAATAAAAATAAAATAAAATATATCCCCTTTGCTGTTTGTCTACTCACAAGGTACACTGCAGACTTCCCAGCAGTAAAATGGCAATGATAGGAGAAGGATCTGTTTGTCTCTTCTTCTCTGATCTCTCTCTATGGTCCTTTTCAGAATGCCCAGGAGAACCATGGGCTGGCTGTGCCTACACCCTCTGTCCCAGAAGATTTTGCAGACAAAGCAGTGACAGGTAAGGAGACGTCTGGGTTTGGGGTTTGTCCATCCTTCCTCCCTGAAGCTGAAATCCCAAAGCCAAGTGTCTAGCCAACACAGCAGGGAGGGACCAGTTGGCTGCTGACTACAGTGAGGCTGAGAGTTGAACACAGCCAGGCTGGCAAGGCCCCCTTAGTAGGCGAGGCTGGGGACAAGAGACTAGACTAGCAGTGTGGTGGGGTAGAAAGCACCCAGGAATCCAAGAGGTGAGGGGCAGGACATACAGCCCTCACCTCTCTAGGCCTTCTGCATTAGGGGACCACATAGTCCTTGGCTAGGGAGACTAGGATGGGTGGCAGGTCCCCCCGTGTTCCAGTCACTGCCGCCTTGGCTATGGGATCTGTGTAAGCTGCAGAGAGCACTCCAAGTTTGTCTGCTTGTTCTTTCTCTCTGATGCCCAGTTCCTGACTCAGTGCGCCACCCTTGGGTGCTCAACCAATGTCAATTTCCCCTTCCCTGCTCTGGGTCTCTTGGTTTCAAAGTTGAACAGCAGAGTGGCCTCGGGAAGTGGCACATTCCTGGGGCCTAACCCCAAGGAGAAGCAGGAAGGGCTGTGAGGTGCTCAGTATCCCTTTAGCCTCAGATTATGTGGGTGGCCTTCCTTCTGCGCTCCATTATGTCCAGGAGCCCACAGCCTGCTCGTGAGGCTCCCTGTGAGGTGGAAGGCTGAGTCCTTGGTGGGCTTGAGGTCTCTAGAAAGCAGGAGCTATTGGTACAGATGTCTGCGAGGAGGTCCCCACGCCCCCTCCCTGCCCCTTGAGCACCCTGCACCCCAATCCCTGTGTGTCTTACTCCATCTGTGAAGGTCCAGCAACCATGCCCATGGCTTAGCTTTCCAGAGGAAAGGCATAAGTGGGCTGAAGGCTCTCTTGGGTGCTATTCCTCTCGACTGCCCAGACTGACCTTGGTAGAGAGGCCAGCAAGGCTCCCTGGCCTCATTCCCTTGGTCATCTTGTCTCTTTCTTCCAGGCTCCAGCTCACTTGTCAATGGCAACCTGCGACTGTACAGCTCTGTGGGGGACCTCCGGCCCGTGCACTATGGCGAGGATCCACTCATCCCCCCGCCTCCCCCAGGACCAGCCCCAGGCCCCCCTGAAGATGTCCCATCACCTGCTGCTGAGGAGTCCCCACCACCTCCTCCACCTGCCACAGCTCCTCCCCCACCTCCCCTACTGCTGGAACCCCCACCCCCACCCAGCACAGCCCCACCTCCACCCCCAGCTCCAGGGGCCCTGTCCCCCCCATCCACCGTATCTTCCCCATCTACACCCACTCCCCCTGACTTCATCCCACCTGCCCCACCCATGGCCTTTTCGGCCCCACCCCCACCCCCTATGCCAGCCCCAACCCCCCCAGCACCGGCATCTCCCCGGGTCCAGCTTTTCCCGCCTGGGAGTGTCACCAAGTGGAAATCAGAGGTGGCTCTGAATGGCAAGCAGCCAGAGGTCCCCAGAGCCAGCCCCCCAAGGAGCCCAGCGGAACTTAATGGGAACCACCTGCAGCCCAACGTGGAACCCCACCTCACTTTCCCCCGCTCGTTCAAGGTGCCGCCCCCAACCCCAGTCAGGACTTCATCCATCCCAGTTCAGGAAGCACAAGGTGCTCCCCCCCAGGAAGAGGGGATCACTGAGAAGGCTCCCAGCCGGCTCTCACTGCCTCCCACCTTCCACATCCGCCCCGCATCCCAGGTCTACCCAGACAAGGCCCCGGACCCAGACCGCTCTGGGGAGCTCAAGGCGGAAGCACCGGACAGCCTGAAGCTCTGCCAGTCCCAGTCCCAGACAAATGAGCAAGCTGCTCCCCCTCCCCCTCCTGCTCCTCCACTCCCTCCTCCTGCTCCCCCTCTTCCTCCAGCTGCCCCACCCTTGCCTTCTGCTGAGAAGGCAGCCCCTGCACCTGCTGGCTTTACGAAAAGCCCTAAATCCATTTCCCCTGCTCTCAAACCCAAACCCGAACCCAAACCCCCCAGCCCAGAAGACACAGCCTCATCATCGCCCGTGGACTGGCGGGACCCCAGCCAGATGGAAAAGCTGCGGAGTGAGCTGGCCGCCTACCTCTGTGGCTCCAGGAGAGAAGACCGATCTCTGGGCCCCAGGCCGGGCTCAACTGTGACCTCCCAGAGCAGGGAGGATAAGAGGGGCCCTGACCTTCCGGAGGCCAAGGAGTCCCCCTACAGTGTTCCTGGGACGAGTTCCCACGGTGAGGATGCCAGCCTGGCCCTGCCCCCTGTGGACTATGTCCCCCAGGACTCTCCAACTCCCAGTGTCCAGCAGCTTCGGAATGAACTGGAGGCCCGGCTTTCCTCGACGGCGCAGAGGGAAGGCAAGCCCAGCCTAGGCTCCCTGCCTCCCAAACCCCGGCTAGAAGGGGGAAGAATCTTTGAAAACGGGATGAATGGCAAATTCTCCAAACCGGGGACTAAGGACCCGTCGCCTTTGCCCTCCTCCCCTCTAGCAGCCTCACCACTCCAGGCCAAGGCCACGCCTGGGCCAGCCATACGACCCAAGGCCACACCTGGACCAGCCATACCACCCAAAGCCTCACCTGGTTCATCTATATCACCCAAGACCTCACCTGGGCCAGCTACACCAGTCAAGGCCTCACCAGTCAAGGCCACACCTGGACCAGCCATTCCACCTAAAGCTTCACCTGCTCCATCTACGTCACCCAAGACCTCACCTGGGCCAGGTACACCAGTCAAGGTCTCACCAGTAAAGGATATACCTGGACCAGACAAACCTACCAAGACCCCACCTCAGCCCATCACATCATCTCCACAGATGGCAGAGAGGTCAAAATCCGGAGAAGCTGCAGCACCCTCCCCACCAAAGCCACAAGGGTCACCCTTGGGGACCAGAGCCATCATCTCTCCTATGCTCCCCGCAAAGACCTCCCCTCCCAATCGGGAGGAAGCACCTTTTGTCTATAAGCCCCATCGTGGTCAGAACAACCCCAGCCATGAGGTTGCCATGGTGACACCCACCCTGGCACAAGGAGAGACTTCCGGGTTGGGGGGTCTCACTAAAGTGCCAAACCCCCAGAACCTACCAGCCATCTCAGCCAAGCTGGCGGCAACAGACCAACTCCTGAGACATCCAGTGACTGGGGAGGTGGTGGAGCAGGGCTCCCCCATGGCCCTGCTGTTAGCTGCCCGGCAGAGGGCACAGAAGGGGAGGCCTTCAGGGACCCCGGGGCTGGGCCGGTCCTCCCTGCCAGGGAGCCTGCGCAACCACAGCAGCCACAGTCCTGCAGAGGCCAGCTCTGACAGCATCTTTTACAGCGAGGGCCGCCCCAATTCCTTCACTGTGGTCCCCAGGTTAGCCAAGGAGGCGGAGAAAGACTCCCGGCCAGCCTCATCGTCATCATCATTGGTGGGGCAGCCTTCAGTTCCCAATCAGTGGACGCTTCCACCCAGAAGAGACACCCAGGACATGGAGCCCAACCACCGGTACAAGTTGTCCAAGGCTGAGCCCCAGCCCCTTGTGGCCTGGGAAAGGCCAGCCCCCTCCAACCTGCGCCAAAGCCACCTGCTGCCCAAGTCCTTCTCATCCCCACCTTCTCCTTCCTTGAAATGGGAAGAAGAAGAGGAGGAGGAGTTCAACTTTGAGGTCATCCCACCACCCCCAGAGTTCAGCAATGACCCTGAGCCCATGCCCCCAGCTGTGCAGTATCAAGGCCGCCGTGGCTCTCCTCCTCAAAAGGACTTCTCAGACTTGGGGCAGCCCCTCGGTGCACCTCCCAGTGGCTTCTCACGCTTCCCCAGGGGTGCTGTACCCTATTCCGGAGGAGGAACTGGGGGACCAGAGCGCTCCTCGGGCACCGGCCGCTCGCTCATCAAGAAGCGCTTGTATGTTGGGGAGACCAACCGCAGCCCCACACAGCCCCCTGGTGGCCCAGGCCGCAGCCTCAGCACCCCCAACTGCTTCGGGCCACAGTCGGGATCTGGAGGGCCCTTCACCGGACCTGCAGGCCCGGAGATGCGCCGTGTCAACTCAGCTGGGCGCATGGCCCGTGGTGGCCTGCAGGCACCTAGGCCCACCCTGGAGGGTATTTCCCATGGTGGTGGCACAGCCGAGGCCAAGGCCAGAACTGGCAACGGAGGCAGTGGGGGCAGTGACTACAGCTTCGCTTCAGCCACGGTCAGGTGAGCTGGGGCTGGACCACAGGAAGGGAGATTTGGGTGAATGTGGGGGACTGTCCATGGATGCACTGCTTTGGGACCACAGAGGATCTGACCAGGCCATGGCCATCAGTCAAATTTTAATTCTGCCCTGTGGCTTGCAGAAAGAACCTGGGAAAGCCACTACCTTTCCCAGAGGGTGCTGCCAGCCAGCAGCTCTACCTGTTCCTGTGTGTGTGTGTGTGTGTGTGTGTTCGGTCTCCCCAGGCCCCCCAATCCCAGGGCCTGGAGCTAAGTGTGGAGTGGAGGTGTGGGGTAGAGGCAATGTTGCCCATACTATCCTATGGTCAGCAGGGTCTAGAGTGCCAGGAGACCTGGCATCTGATACACTAAGCCCAGAGTTGGCAGGAACAAATGTAGTAGAGCTGAATTGGGGCTTTTAGTGCCCTGGAAGAGGCAAGGGGTGAGGATACTGGTGAGGCTGCTAAAACCATTAACCTTGGGTCTCTCTGTCTCATCCCACCCAGGTCTCCCCGCAGCAGTCCCCACTATGGAAGCCCCATCAACACGTTCACCGTGCGACCGGGGACCCGACATCCCATCTCCTATGCCTACTCAGGGACCCATCGGAAAGCTGTGCCCTGAGCTGGGGGGTGCTGTGTTACCTCTCCCCACAAGGGGCATGGGCCCCGGGCACTTGTTTTTGTTGGGGGTAGGGTGAGGGCAGGTGATGGGAGGGATGCAGCAAGTGGGGGGCAGGCAGAGTGGGGCACTGAGGAGGCTGCTCCCCGAGAGATGGGTGGTAAATGAGAAGCAGCCGCCCTGGCCCGGAATGCCAGGAGGGGCTAGAGGGAGGAGAGGGGCACCTCTAAGGCCCTGACTTTCTGCCCCTGCTCTCGGTACTATCTGCTTTAGCAACACTTGTTTAAAGCCGCTTTCTGAGCACAGTCTGACAGATTCTGAAAGCCCTGTGGTGCGGCCACAGCTCTGCACCAGGAGCCTTGTGGGTAGTGGTGATTGCTTGCAAGTAGCTATTTATGCTCCACTGGCTGCACCCCCCGAACCTACCCAACAGGAATTTCTGGCTACATCAGAGGGGTCCAGCAATATGAGCAATATGCATGTACAGCTTGTGGAGAAGGTTCTGGAACAGAAGCCATTGGCGTTGGCAAAGTGGGAGAGGCAACAGGGAGAAAAAGCCACCCCCACCCGAGGAGTTGACTGCTGCTACTGCTGGGGATGTGTGTTGGCGAGTCTGAGGTAGCAGGACTTGGCTAGCCTGGAGCAGGTGGCCCTACGGCCCTTACTGCAGTGATCTGGGTCAATAGACTTCCTTCCATGTTTATAAGCAGCCCTGGCTTGGATATGTGGTTGCCACAGACTTCCCAGGGGGTGGGATTTCTTGGTTTACTTGGTTTTAGATCCTGGTGGTCTGAATCCTGGAGCCAGGCCCCAGGTGACCTGAGTCAGAGTGAGGGCAGGGGAGGAGGCTGAGCAGGAAGAGCATGGGGTTCAGACGCTGGAAGGAGTATGGGGATGGCAGGTGTGCAGGTGGCCAAGGCCAGCCATCCTAACGGGGCAGGGGACCTGGGTTTGAGAAGTGAATCCTACCCCGACATAGCATGAGTTCTGTAAATGTGTATGTGCCTCCCTGTCTGTTTTATTAAAAGAAAAAAAGATTAATTTGTTTGCTGGGTTAAGGCTTGGGGGTGGTGGAGTGTGGACTCCAAGCTGTATATGGCCTTGGCTGGGAGTGGGGGAAGGCGCTGTGGAGAAGGGCTGGTGTCACTTGGCATGGGAAATAAACAGGTTGGTTTGCACTGGCCTCCAGTACTAAGGGTGTGCAAAGATCGTGGTGTGAGGAGGTGCTGGGGAAGCTGAGAAGGGCACAGCTGTTTGCAGGGTGTTGGGAACAGCTGGAGAAAGCCCAACTTTTTTTTGTTTACAATTTTTTTAAAAGAATTATTTATTTATTGGAAAGTCAGATATATACAGAGAGGAGGAGAGACAGAGAGGAAGATCTTCCGTCTGATGATTCACTCCCCAAGTGAGCACAACGGCTGGTGCTGCGCCGATCCGAAGCCAGGAACCAGGAACCTATTCCAGGTCTCCCACACGGGTGCAGGGTCCCAAAGCTTTGGGCCATCCTCGATTGCCTTCCCAGGCCACAAGCAGGGAGCTGGATGGGAAGTGGAGCTGCTAGGACTAGAACCGGCGCCCACATGGGATCCCGGTGCATTCAAGGCAAGGACCTTAGCCACTAGGCCAAGCCGTTTACAAATTTTTTGTTATTATCACTTTGTGTTACAGTTCCATAGGCCCTGGGATTTCCCTTACCCCCACCTCAAGTCCCCTCCCCACCACTGAGTTGCCCTATATTATTACTGTAGTATTGTTCTTCATAAACAGTCATATTTCCATCGTTGTGGGCATGGACAATGGCACAGAGTCCAGCATCCTATTGTCAAGATATAGTTAACAGTTTCATTAGGAGTCCATCTTTGATCTGGAAGTAGAGATGCATACTGCATCATATCCTCACATCTTGATATGATAATCTCCATTACACAGTTACTATACATCTCCTTAAATGAAAAGCCACATTACAAAATCAACAACAGAAAGAAAAATAAAAAATTTACAATGCCAGGAAGTTCTCAGAGTCTCCATCTGCCCAGATATTCACTGCCAACTGCCAACATTTGGTTGTAGTAGTTGATGGATTTGTTCTGTCCTCCATCCTCTGCCATAGTACCAGGTGTCCTCTGGAGGCTCCAATGTACTGCCATATCCTCCATGTGCATTTGGAGATGTTGTCCACTACTCCTGCACCACCGAGGAGGCCCAGCTCTGACACATGCACTCCATGATCAGACCATGGAACTTGCAGTTCTCTCTATGGTTGGGGTTCTGAGCCCAGTGGTTCATTTCAGGGGGAATTACCAAGGAGACCTCATCTGAGGTGATCCCAGACCTGATTCTTGTGTGTGCTTGTCAATACAGGGTCCGGCACAGTCCATCACCCCAATCAGCTTATGCACACACTGGTAGTTGCAATTGCAGGTTTAGGTCTGTCTCCAGCCCCATGTTTTATGCAAACCAATGGGTGTTGCAGTCCAGCTAGATCCTGCCCACCACATACTTGGCTGCCGGAGTCCAGCTCCAGCTGAGTTCGGAACTCGCAAAGGGTGTGTGGATGAGGCGCAAAGAAAGAAAGAAAGAGACGGACCACTAGGACTTCATCATCAAAATGGACCACGCACAAAAGCTGTCTGCTTTATTTATACAAAATCAGTCAAACTCTGGCTCAGACTTTTTACGTCATGGTCAAGTGGGTGTTTCTAAAGATAACTCTGCCATTTGTTTCACTTAAGGCTAGGGTGTTAACCACCTGGTGCCTGGTACCTAGCGCCTGGCTAGGAAAAAGTTCTCAATAGATGGTGCATATCAATCACTAAACACATTCCTACCACAATTACTCTACAGCTTGGTCTTGAGACAGTCAAGGAAGGAAGGGCTTCACAGGAGGGACCTAAAAGATCAAAGAAAGAGGGAAAAAAAAGATTCCACTACACCTGAAGGCAGAACACCCTTGATTAGCATAGGATCAAAAGGGGAGTTAGCACCCTTGATTAGCATATTGCCACAGGATGCAGCCATAACATCCCAACCAGCCCTACTATCTAGTCCACACTGGTGCCAGCAGGTACCACTATCTGTCTAGCTGTGTCTGCATCTGACAGAATTTGCCCCCTGTGCCAGCATCTGTCAGCTGATGCTACAGCAAAGCCCAACCCCCTCCACACACACCAACTCTGGCTTATACATGTACTAGAAGGTACAGTCAGCCCAACCTGGCTTTTCCCTGAGCCAGCTCACATGTAGGCTATTATATATTGTGGCCCTACCCGGCCTGGTCTTCCCCCATCCCAGCTCTCATGCTCACCAGTGGGATTAGTGAGTAGGGGGCTTTCCCACAGCTCCCCCCACTGGGTCTGTCCCCACCTCACCCCTCGTGTTTCACATGTGCTGGTTGGGTGCTGCAGCCCAGTCTGGCACAGTCTGCCTCACCTCATCATTTGCCAGTGGGTGCTATAGCCTGGCCAGGCCCGGCCTACCCCCAATTCTAGCTCACGCTGGTGGGGACTACAACCTAGTCCAGTCCTGCCAGCCCCCAGTCCCAGCCATTCCTAATGTGGACTGGCTGGTGTTGCGTCCCGACAGGCCTGACCCACACTCCATTCTGGCACTCAGATTTGCCAGCGGGTGATATGAACTGACCCAGCCTGGCCTGCCCCTGATCTGTGCCAAATGTATGCTGGTGGGTACCGTGTTTTGGCCTGGTCTGGGCTGCTCCCCATCTTGGTTCTTGCATTCACCTGCAGGGAGCTTGTCCCAGTAGAGGAGTTTCCAAGCTGCTCCATCAGGATCTCTCCCAACGCCAGATCTCGTGCACACTGGTGGGTCCAGGGCCAGACCTACTTAGTCTACCTCCTGTCTTACAGGAACAATGGCTGTTCCTGACTGGTCCTCATCCATTCTGGTTCTTTTTGTTGGGTGCTACAGCCCAGCCAAGCCTGGTCCGTACCCAGACACAGCTCAATCATGGCTCAGCAGGGTTAGAGACCTAGCCTAGCCTGTCCTACACCCATCCTGGTTCTCACAAACAACAGTGGGTGCTGGGGTCTAACCCAGTCCAGCACATCCCTTACCTAGCCCACACCCATGCCGAGGGATCCTGCAGCCATATCCTGACCAGATCACAGCCCCCAACCTGCCCCTTATGCTCACCGATGGGAATCACACCCCGGCATCCCCTTTGCTTCCCAACCAGGCCTGTTCCCATTCCACAGATCCATGTGTGCCAATGGTTGCTCTGACCTGGCCTGGCATATCTCCTCATCTGTCTCAGCCTTTGCCTTCGGATGCTGCAGCCTGGCCTTATCTAACCAGCCTCCAGTCCCAACTCTTGTTGGCGGGTGCTTCAACCTGGACCTGCTCAGTCTGCTCCCATTCTTGGCTCATGTAAACTAGCAGGTGTCATACCCTACCCCGGCATGACCTGTACTCCAGCCTGGTTTCTGCACTCACCAGTGGGCTAAGGTTTGCTTGGCCCTGCCCGGTCCACCCCCTTCCAAAACCAACCCACACACTTGCCAACAGATGGGGCTACCTTCCTCAGCTTGCCTGAATCCTAGGTCTGGACCACATGCTCACCAGTGGGAGCTATAACCCCGCAGGGGAGTTTTCCAGGTCCCCCTACTCAGCTCACTCCCAGACCCAGATCTCACATGCACCAGCAGGTGCTAGGCTCTTGCCCATCATAGCCTGCCCCTCCATCTTGGCCTTTGTATGGGCTGGTGAATGTTGTGGCCTGGCCCGCCCCACACCCTGCATGGAGATACCCATGCAGGTGCTGCAGCTTGGACCTGCCCAGCCTATTCCCGGCCCCAGTACCTCTGAGTGTTGTTGGGTTCCATGTTCACATCTAATTCAGTCCATCACTACCCCAACTCTTGAGCTAATCAGTGGGACTTATATTTCCACAAGGCTGGGTCCACTTATCCCCCACAGAATCTACCCTTGGACTGCATTCTCTCGTGTGCTGGTTAGTGTCATGGCCCTGCCTGATATGACCCATCCCC